TCTGAGACAGGGTAGGCTCCAGGAACTAAGCCATAATGTCATGTGAGTCAAATCATCCTAGGAGGCCTAGATGGTGCAGTAGTTAGTATCCAAGTCACTACGAATTATAGACATAACTACAAAGACTATGCAACACAAGAAGCAATAAAACATCTTTTTTCAATTTTTTGTTTGCTTGTTTTCATTTTTTTGTTTTCTTTATCTATGTAAAAAAGAAGATAAAGATGCTTCTTTTTTTATTGTCTTTTTTTATCTATCTAAGAAAGAAGATAAAGATGCTTTAAGAAGATAAAAATGTTTTATTTTAGAGAGAATAAATGATGCTTCTAAAGAAGATAAAGTCAAGAAAAATCTTAAGCTTATGCAGAGAAGAATTGTAAAAGAAGGGATTAGATCTAAACATATAAGATCAAGTCCAATCTAGAGAGATAAGAGGAGAAAATCTAGATTTATCTTTTTTTTTATTATTATCATTTTATCAAAAGAGATAGAGATGCTCTAAAGAGATAGGAATGATCTAAAAAGATAAGCATGAATAAAAGATAATCTAAAAATATGATAAAGATGATCTAAAAGACGATCAAGTAGATCTAAAGATGAATCAAGATGGATTTAAAAGATGAATCAAGATTGATCTAAAAATGATAAAAGGTGATATAAAACAAGATGACAAAGATTGATATAAAATATCCTAATTTTGTATGGAGAGAGAAAATGATAAGATATAGAAAAAGATAAATCTAGAAAGAGAAGATAGAATCTCATAAAAGAGAAGATAGAATTTCATAAGAGGAAATCCTTTCAAATCTATCTTGATTTTCCTATTTTTCTTATTTTATTATTATTTACTTGAAAATAAATATGAGAAAAAAGAAGTTTATTTTTATATGGATCTGAAGCTCAAGATCCCCACGGTGGGCATGTTACTGGTTACGCTCTAATCTATGCCGATCTCTAGGTGAGATCAACTCAAATATTTACTAAATTAGGTTTTATGAAATAGTAGAGAAGGGGGGGTCACTTGAATTATGGGCTCAAGAACAACACATATTTATTTAGATCCAATTTTTCTTGATTCCACTACAGCATTAGCTTCCAGATCTGCATTTTGATTTAAGAACACTTCTAAATTTAACTAACTAATTAATAACAGAAAATTACATAAAATTAAATTAAATTAATGATGAAAATAAACTAAATTGAACAAGAGAATGAGTATTTACATCTAGAAACTTGAAACCCAGAGTTTTGGGCATGGAACATGCCGCTATTCTAATTTGTGCCACCAGCTCATTTTAGATGCCTTCTTCTTGCTGTAATTGCCAGATCTAAAGTTTTATGACCTAGATTTAAGGTTCCTAAGGCATTTAAAAAACGTTTAGAATTTTTAAATATAGTCTAACTAGGCTTGTTTTAGAGGAGGCATTCCTTAGTTTTCTAAGGTTTTGAGATTTCTTAAGGTAGAATATGAATTATGAGATTTTCAATGATTTTTGGGGAATTCTTGAGATTTTTCCTAATTCTTAAGAATTTCTTAGGAGCTTTTCTTATTTTTCAGTATTTTTTAACCTTTTTTTTTTTTCCTTCTAATTTTGTGTTTTTCTCATATTTTCTAAGAATTTCTATGGAGTTTTTTATCTTTTTAAGATTTGTTTTTTTTTTAGTTTTGGAAAAAGGTATTTATAGGAGTCAACTAGGGATTTTTCTTATTTTTTTTTGGAATTTTCCAGATTTATCTGATTTTTTGGATTTATTCCAATTAGATAACACCTATACTGCATCATCGGGCTGCACGATGTGTCACACGTTGATACGTGTCCAGCTTTGGTTGTGGCTAAATTGTTATTTTATCGAACAATTTCCCCCAGACTAAAACTTTCTAACTGTAAGTCTAATTTAGGTGATTATTGGACCGTTGGAAAGCTTGTGAGCTCTTTTATAATTTGAACAAATTTGGTTAAATTGAGATAATTTTTAGGAAATCTACATAGCTAGAATTTTAAAGTCTCAGTTTTAGGTTTCGGGATGTCCGATCAGTGTTCGGGTTAGTTTTCTGGGTTCTCAAGGCTCATGGATGTCTGAGGTAACTATGTGAGGGTTACTGGGATAAGTTTATGTCACCTACAGTCGATTAGGGTTTGTGTGGTCTTTTTAGACTCATAATTAAAAGTTTAAAATGAGTGTCTAAAAAAACAAAACACAAAAAACTCTATGTGAAATCTAAGGGAGGGATGCAAGAGAGAGAAACTAAAACCTAAAAGAAGAAACAAAGATTAGAAGATAGTAAAGCTTAAGGAACGACCAAAAAAAGGAAAGAGGAATCATATTTGAAGAGATCTAAAGAAATAAGCTTAGATCTAGGATAATTACCTTAGATCAAAGGGAAAGAAGCAAAGATATACAATATTAGGCTGATATCTATGGGAGGAAGACAAAAAAAAAAAATCATTTGGAAGAGGAAACACATAAAAGGAGAAGGCAAAAAGTCACCATTTACTGGTGAAGGTTGCCGAAGATGGTCTCTGCTATAGATCTACATGTTGGAGATGGCCGCTACTAGGAGATGGTCGCAAAAAATTCTGCTCACAGCTCACCGATATTCTATGGTGGGTTATGCTCGCCATAGCCACTTGCTTGATGGGTGTTTCTCGCCGCTGTGCACAACTCGCCGATGCCTAATAGTGGGTGTTGATTGTCGGAGATGGTGGGTACTGTGACCCCTAACCAATGTGAAAATATTTTCATGAAAGTACTTTTACATAATAGAGTTCCTCCAAGTGATTATGAGAAGTAGAGTTTTTTACACAACAATTAGCTGCCAAATGGTATGAAAAAATACGTTAGGACCAATTGGTGTGAAAAAATCTCACATCTAATCATGAAAGAGTACTTTCCAGTGAAAATACTTTCACTAAAGTATTCTCATGCATACCAAATGTGCTCTTATGGATGTAGTACTAAGAAAAAATGTTCATCGCTCAGTGTTTGTTCCATGCTTCCAGTTTAAGAAATACACAAAAATATCCTTAATTTCCATAAATAAGCAGGTGGATGGCCTGTAATTAATTTACTGCACAAGTTACGTTTAGGTTGAGCAAATAGAGGACCAATGAGAGATTTCACCACCTCGACAAAAAGCAAGCATTCAAACCAGCACGTGCTAAAGCTGGTGGGAACTTGGATTCCCCACTAGGGGCGTTGGATCCAGGACTAAGACCCAACCAACCCCATCCGACCCCACCCCACATTGTTTTCAAGTAATAACTCAAAACTAAATGTAGAATTGCACTTGCCAATAGTGTCTCTGGACATTGCTTAAGACCAATACCATAAATTTAGATTCACACAATGAAAAAACACCACCATATTAATCATCACTGAATAAAGTTCCAGATTCATGGCAGTTATCCCTGTCCATTCAAATGCACAGCATAAGATATATAGAGAGATGAGAGAGAGAGAGGAACCTACACACCAACAGGCCATTGAAATCAATGGTATCATCATGTTCAAACGGGTCCCACTCTCTCTATGTCATTGCAACTAGTGTTTTAGGGCTTTGAATGGGAGCTTGGATTGCAAGGACTAATTCTGGTTCTCCTGTTCATTTCCTACTAATCTAGAATTAGATAGGAAGACAAAAAAAAAAAAACCTAGGAGGGAATTAATCACGAAAACTAGGAGAATTGGGCAATTTCAAGGTTCTCATGAACAAATCAGACAATCCTTATTTGAATTAATTGGTTTTTAACTGATGATTTTGGTTTCGAGCAATTTAAAATTGAATTAGTGATTTTTAAAACACTATTATTGCAACCACAAAAAGAGTTGGCAACAGGCCGGGCCAGCCCAACCCTGGTCCTAGTACTCATGGCCCAGGCTAGATAAAAATAGAAAAACATAAACAAAAAAATAAAGAAAAAGAGGATCACACTAGCTAGCCTTGGCCTATACCTGGCTCAACTCTACTCTCGGGTTATGGTCGCCTTGCCCTGGCCCGACCCTCGAATAGGTCTACTTTTTTACAATTGGTAATGCCACCCCTGATAGCAATGAGCCTCGTGACTAGGGGCAGCAGCTGGTCAGGTCGGGTTTGGGTCTCGGACCCGAAAATTTATGGGACTCAGACCCAACAGGTTCCGAACTTATCAGACCCCGACCCGACTGGACCTGGATCAAGACCTAGATCCGATTGGACCAAAACTAGGACCTAGACCCTATAGGACGCGAACAAAAAAAATAAAAACATAAAAACATTTAAATATTATATTTAAAATATACATGTATATTATAACTAATAAAATCATTCAAATAATTACACTATTCGGATCGGGGTCCACATGGATCACGACACGGACCTGAATAGTATTCAGGTCCAAATATTGGACCTGAACCGAACCCGCAAGGTCCATTGTTTAGACCCATACCAGGACCCAAGTCGGTTCCATGACATCGGATCTCGATTCATTGCCACCCCTACTCGTGACTACGAGAAATTATAGTGTACGTTCCTTTAACAATGTTAAACATGTAGAGACTTGGGTGCCAGGTTGGACGGAAAACATCAGCTGATGTCAATTTGCTGTGCCTGTGCTCAATGTAGAAAAAGCATAGTTATACGAGCGATTTGTTATTAGGGCCACAGGGATGAGATATTTAGGAACAAAATACTATTTACGAGAATATCCGTAGCCTCTAACAATGGGGCTTGATTCCGGTGAATTCATAAAGAAAAGTGTCCGTACCTTTTGGAAAGGAAGGGGAAAAGAAAGGGTAAAAAGCCGGGGGGTTATAAAAGGAATTGAACGGTGAAGATAGGGAAAGCTTTCCTCGAGGGTTTCATCTGAGTCGTCTCTCTTCTCCTCTGTTCCCCAGCGTCCGATCGCCCAAGCATCCCCCCTCCATCGCCTCTCCCTCTCCCCCGAATACAAAAAGAACTCCCTCTCTCTCTCTTCGCGCCTGGTATGACCAAAACCATCTTCCCCTCTCTCTCTGTATATGTCTCGCCTCTTTTCTCTCTCTAACACGATCTCCCATTTGTACAGAGTTTCTCTTTCTTGTTCTGAATCCAGTGGATCTAGGGTTTCCTTTCGCTTCTGGTTGTCTGGTTTCCACCTTAAGGGCTCTAGGGTTTCAATTCATTAGTTGTAGCTCTGGGCGTTTGACTCCCAGGGTTTTACTGTTTTTTACATGCATGGCTCTAGGGTTTCGGTTCATTTGTTTCTTGTCCCGGCTTTTGATACTCAGGTTTTTGCTGGTTGTTACTTGCATGGCTCTGGGGCTTCAATTCGTTTCCTTTTACTCTTGGGCTCTGGTCAGGGTTTCAGATAGGGTTTCTCCTTTGTTTCCTGGTCTGAAAGCTGGAGTGGCGTGATTCTCTTGTTTCATTGTTGCAGTTGTACAGTGTAACTGTTTCAAGGGTTCAATTTTCAGAAATTTATATCAAATTTGTCTAGGGCTCCGACTTGTCTCCTCCTTTGCTATTTCTTCTATCTCCACTGATTCACCATTTATTAAGTAGCTTGTCTTTTTCCCCCCATTTTTTCTCGACTTCGCAGTAATGGTTTCAGTCTTACAGGTTTTGCCTCGGATTCTCCAAATTCTGCTACTCTTAGAGGCTCCCTTATCCTCTATATTTAGAGGACTCCCTGTATTTTGCTATATTTCACGGCTTGAAGGTTCAGATTCTCCTTATTACATAGCATCACCCCTGGGGTTTTTCTTTATGTAATGTTTTTCTAATTGTATTACTGGTTTTTCTCCAGGGTTTTGCAATGGCAGATGCTTCAGCTAGTCCTGGAAGCCCTGAAAGTCCTAACTCTGGGGAACAAAGCCCCCACTCCAATGTTAGGGAACAGGACAGATTCTTACCAATTGCAAACATCAGCCGTATCATGAAGAAGGCTTTACCTCCAAATGGAAAGATTGCTAAGGATGCGAAGGAGACTGTTCAGGAATGCGTATCTGAGTTCATCAGCTTCATTACCAGCGAGTATGCATGCGAAGTTTTTGTTCTAAGTTCTTCTATAATTTCTGGACATATCATGTCTATCTTGTGTATGATAGCTAGATTTATTTTACTAATGTGAATATTGTATAAAACCTATGTTGCATTAATTGTTTGCTTTTATTGAAATTAGAAAATTTGTGAATTATCGAATCGGGTTTTCCAAATTGTTGCGTATACCTTTTCTCCCATGGCAATGGCTTTAATGTTCCTAAACTGTATGAATATGTGGAATGTGTTTCATATATACTTGTTATGAATCTCAATGATTTTCAAGGCCTTGGGTCATGCAATTTATTTACTTGTCTATAAATAACTTTTCATAAACATGCATAAGCAGGCAAAGAGTATGAATATCTATTGAAATTCTGATGATTTTTTATCCATTATCTCATTAACTGTTATACTCATCTATAGTTATCTTTTCATAAACATGCATAACATGCAAACAATGTTACATCTAGTCGCACATGCTACAAAGGACAGAGATGTAGACAACCTGCTCGGTGACCAAACAACCGAGAAGGTCTGTACCTGGAGGGGCTGGGACGAAGTGAAGCAAAGAGAGAAAATGAAAGAGGAAAGGAATGGAGAGGAAGTTAGAGAAACCCCTCCAAAATCTGGGGAAGCACTTCCATTTGGTGGCTCCCTTTTCACTTTCTCCTGTGCCGGACTAGGTTTCATCATTGACCTTGACTTCGTAGAGTGTGAGAGGAGTCATTGAGTTGTATCTGCTGATGTCCATGGAAAGGGAGATTCCCGAACGCAATGTCATTGAATGATCACCCCCACCACCCGAAAATTGAAATCATTTATGTGAGAAACCTCTTCCCTGTGAGAAGAGTTCAAGCCCTGGTCAATGCTCAATGACAGATTGTAACAGTGCATCCTTTAGAACAGTGTCAACCGTTACTGGGCTTGGGTTCTCAAGAGTTATAATTGTCGTTGATGTTAAACCTCCAGGCAATAGTGGGCTGAGTAGTCCTAGTCACTGGTCTTAGCATGTGGGGTCCACTGTGATCCAATTAATTCTGAGGCTTGCGAGTCTAATGCCCAAGAACTTTGAAAGATTTGCGATTGTGATGTGCATAACTCACATGTTGCAATCATGGTTAGGAATATTCTGTTCATCAAAAAGTTCTTTTTTTTTTTAATGGATGTTTGAATTGTTGTGGTTTATAAAAACTTTAAAGCTTATGAAGAAAATGAGATATCTTTCAAAGCTCTTTTTTTTGGTTATTGCGGGCTCATTTTACCCAACCATTTGGCGATGCTAGAGGGTTTTAAAATCCACACAAGTTTACCTCTGGTCCTCTCTCTCTGCCTTGAAAATTCTTACTAATTAACCTCTCTCTCTCTCTCTCTCTTTCTCTCTCTTTGTGCGCACCTGTGTGTGTGTGCGCATGTGTATGTTTGCGTATGCTTGCCCATGCACGTGTGTCCCCAATCCCCCCCTCCCCCCCAGGTGCCAATAAATTGTCTTCCTTTGGCATTTGGTTTTTCTATTTGGAAGCCCATTCAGAGAACATGGAAATCTTTTTCTGTTGTTTTCATACTTCAGCATTTTGACGCACTACTTGCAGATGTGAATCAGGACTTATTTCGTTTAGCACTACTAAACTTTGAGGTCCTCACGTATTAACGGTATGTATTGTGTATTATGTGTTCACGCCATTTTCTTTAACTATGGTTTCTTGTTTATTCTGCAGTTATCCTATTTTATTATCTAAACGTTCATCTATTATCTGGCTTCTTTTTTTGAGCTCTTTTGACTCCATGGTTGCAAGTTCTCTCATTGCATGATGCTCTCTTGAAAGGCACTTTTTTAAAGATCTTGCTGTTTTCCTCCATCTAAATGCCTAGAAAACAACAAGGTGATGTTCCTCTTTGTTGCAATCCTAGAGGATATAACCAATATGTGAGAGAGAGGTAAGTGTTGATGGGTCCTAGCATCATCTCAAAATTCGAAGAACTTAGAAGTTTTTCCAAATAGACGGCAATGAACTGTATAGTAACAAATGATGCATTGTTTCCTTTGCCTCTTAACCAAGGACTGCAAAGTGAGGAATTGGAGATCATAGTCATGGAGTCTGCATTTGGTGCTCTGTTGAGGATGAAAATCCACCTAAATCTTGGGCTCTAGGTGATTGAGAAATTGAAGCTTGAGAAGCATTTAGACTTTGTCGAGTCCAAAAGGAAATAATATACTCAAGGTAGTCTTCTTTTATGATTTTTGGGTGATCATTTCAACCATATAATCTGTGTGTATACTTGTGTATACATACATGCATGCATGTTGTAAGCTGCTTGGACAATGGAACGGTTGCCCATGTTTGTTGAGAGTGGAAGGGGCATTTTGTCCATATTCGTTATGTGTAAGATGTTTTCTAAATGATTTCCATGTGCTTGAGCTTCAGCACATCTCTCCACAAGATTCAGTTCAAAACAATTTATAGAAGAAATTTTACAACTGAAAAACTGACCATATATTGGCCATTGGATGTGCTCATATTCATCCTGAGCTGTTTGGCCTATACTGTTTTAGAGTCCTGGCAGCTGACAAACATTTTTCTTATTCCACTCACTCTCTGCATGTGTATAGTACGTATGTATTGTGTGTATGTGCATGTGAATTTGTTCTACATATATAAAGCTGTATTTCAGCGTGGTAGTCAAGTAGATCATGTGACCTATTAGAGAGAGGTGGGTACCCTATTATGAGCATTCTTCCTAGGATTTATCTCTTGCTAAGGTCTAAGTCTTAGATGATATTTTATATTTTTAGCATCTTATTTTCCCATGTTTTAGTTCCATTTAAAACTATTATCCATCTTTCCATTTAAGATAAGATCCTTTAGAATGGATGAGGAAGATTTAAGGAGTTGAGTTCTTTATCAAAAAAAAAAAGGATTTGATGAGATTTATTTGTTTTTTTTTTAAGGGGAAGAGGCATCCAAATTTTTGTGTGGGTGTGGACATAATATAGGAAGAGAATCTCTCACTTAGAGGATACAATTTAAGCATGTATATATTTTAAGAGAGGAAATAGGTAAGAGGAGAGCTTCATCTCCATCTAATTCTAATTTTTTCCATAACTACTGCTAAATAGGAGTTCCATGGAACAAATAATGTTGACTTAGTATACATTGTGTGTATACATGGTGTGACCATGCAAATGGGTTTGTATTTAAGTATCATGTGCTGACAAACACACATGTGAGGGTGTGCATAGGCTTTTGTCTGTGTGAGTTAAATGCATGCAGTGACTGTTGGACTTGATGAAGGGAGATGAATTTATTGACTTTATGAAGAGCATTGACTTTAAACTCTGACCTGGCTTGGGACTTAGTCTTGCCCTGAGCCAAGTCATCATGACTCGGCATGGTCGGCTTGGCCAAGTCTCTTTATAAAAGCTTATAGAATGGCATTACTTGCTTGTTGGCTGAGTTTATACTATTCGGGCGAGTCTGGAAAAGATTCAATGAGTTTTTTAACTGTTGAATTGATAAAGGGTACATTCTGTTCAATATGGTTGTAACCGTTAAACATACCAATTTTATTTCAAAGGAAGTTTAAATATTTGAAAAGTTTACTATGCTTTGGAGTTTTTTGATTGATGTTAAGGCCACCATTTTCTCATAGCCATATTTGGCGTGAGTGGAATGAACCGGTTGACTCCTTAGCAAGAAAAGGGGTTTCTAGAACTTCTCTTCATGTCAATCAAGACTACTTTAAGCTTTGGCAACCCGACATGAATTTATATATAAATACATACATTCATGCACACACGTGCACACACACACACATGTATAATGAGCTCTTGTATTCTCAAATGTATTTTTTTGTCATTTACAATTAATTTTATATATGTTATTATCCATAAAAAAAAGTTAGAAGAATCTCGCAAAGTAAAAAATTGATGCTGAGTAGAGCCAGGAAGATAAGTAATGGGGTTTTTCCACTGACTATGTTGATACATATATCCTACCACATCAATTTAGTGTGTGGAAGATAAATAATGGGGTTTTGCCACTGACTATGTCGATACATGCATCCTACCGCATCAATTTAGTGTGTATTGATTGATAGTCATATTGTGTGATTTATGACCCAACACATCAATTTATTGGCCCTAATTGGTGTGATTTTCCTTTCTTTTGTTAATACCACCTTCCTAAAATTTTGTTCATATTTTTGAGAAGTGCCCTCTCTCATACCAAAACAAACAACCAAACCTCTCTCTCTCTCTCTCTCTTTCTCACTCTTCTCTACTTGAACCCAAAATCCCAAGGCTCTCTCTGTACCCAAACCCAAGCAAAAATTCTTGAATGTTCTCTCTGCCTGCGCAAATTAGAACTCGAGGTGTCTAGGTGCCCAAAGGGCCCAAAGCTGCACGCTTAGGCCTGGATGGCCGTCCCTGGATGCAGTCCTCGGTGGATGCCTAGGGCATGTGCCCTTTTTAATGTAATAAATAGGCCCCTAAGGGAGTTCTGGCTCATTTTGACTCGTGTATTAGACTTAAAACGTATTTGGGGGTATTCTAAACCCCAAAGACCACAAATTGATTGACTTCGCAAATTTTTTTGAATCGAAAAAGGATCTGAGTTTTGAAGAAGCATTCAAAAGCTTATCCTTTATCGTTAAATCTTTTATAGGGTGCCAATGAAGGTATTAGAAGACTTTTTCAGTGGAATTTTTTTTAGGGTAGTAGTGAAGGTATTAGAAGGCTATGGCTATGTGCTTGTAACTGTGTCTCATGATAGTATGTCCTATGTAGTATGGATTGGAGAGTCGACAAATACACCATGGATTAGCTTTGTTTGTTCACTAGATTTCAATGATTTGAAGTTTTGAATGTGTTTCAACATGCATGTGTATATATTTGCATGGAACAAGTTAATTAGAATCCATATAATTGCAAAAAAATACAAAATTAACACATATATCTGCATATATGTGCATTTGAATAGCACATATTATGCATA